ATCGGTAAATGGCAGACACCGCATTTTATTGAGAGTTCTGGAAAGATTTATTTCTCGAATACACTGGCGTTGGCATCGAATGGCAATTGTCGCTTTTAACTATTTTGCACAACATTGCCTTGAATTAATTTCACATGTATTATTTATTGTAATAATAATCCTTTTCTGGTAAATAAGTCAGTTCTTCGGATGACCCTGAAGTTCACAAAGAGTTAAAATTTAGGAAAATTTGAGGGGTCAAATTAATGCCGATAATATTATGTTAAATTTTGAAAAAGAAGGATGGAAGTACAGATTTTATTTCAGCTCAAATATTCTTACTTTTTTCTAAAATTCATGTTGTATTTTTTCAAAAATAAAATTCCATATTTCAAGAATATTACCTAAACACTAAATTTTTTCAGTCTCATTTACCTTAAAACTATTTACGGTTATTTCATAGAATTCTTACTCTACCACGGTTGATTGACCTTTGCGTTGACATATACAGGGCACTAGCCTACGTGTATTGTTCTCGCTGTAGCAACCAAAAATTACTTTACTAAACCTATCTGTAAATTGGGCATTGACCTTTATTTACGTAAATAAAACAATGCAATGCAGGAAAAAGAAATTTACTTTAATTCTATTTACAAAATATAACAAAATTAAGTTAACGAAAAGAAAGACTTTTAATATAAATTAAGGTAGGTTTTTCAAATTACGTTACACTAACCTAAGGATAGGTGATGTAATTTGTTTGTTTTGTCCAGTATATTTTAATTATACATTTAGTTAAGCCATTTAATGGTTTGTCTTTCTAAAATGCAAATGTCCCCTTTTTTGAAAGAGACAGTTAACAATAATCATTATTTTAAGTTTAACCAATACCTTTAACGACATTTTGTCGTCTACAGTAACTAGTCAAATGTGTTCGGAAAAACTGAAAGTTAAACTTTAATCAACTTTAATTTTCTAGCTATATAGAATTTTAAATTTTCTCGTTTATGACGTTTTGTGTTAGACGAACCCTTCCAAAAATATGAAATATTAAACACAACATAAAGCAATTTTCACTACGTCATTTTGGAGAAGTTTCCTAAATAAACCAAGTGCAGCGAAGTTTCTGTCCGATAATTTTAACAAAGTTCTATGAGATTGTCCTTTTTATGGAGAATTGTTTAGATAAATTTGTCTTTAAAAAGTTTTTATCGTTTTTATAATAAGATTGTATTGCATTTTCGTTTTCTGCATTAGCAAAGTCCATTTTCAACTACAGATGTTGACAAATTAAAACAATTTAGTCGCGTGTTTGTGGAATTAGTTGGTCACTTTTATTACATAATTTGAAATAGGTTATACAGGAAAACAAGAAAAAGCTAATATGGCGTCCTTAACAAAAATTTAAGTTGCTGTTGATCTAAAGGCTGCTGCACACGATCCGGCATTCCTGTCAATTCGAACTGAACAGCCCGCCTGAACATGTAATGTTCCGGTCGAACTGTCAGTTAAGACTGTTCAGGCGGACGGAGAAAATTCAAAACTAATATTTACACCATCCCGTACGTTTTTTTTAATTTCTTTTTACCCAAAGCAACTACTAAGCCGAGAAGTGCTAACGCGTCGTCGTCAGTAAAGGCCATGATGATGATTGAGACTGATATTTCATTTGCGCCTGAACGTGTGGAGGGTGGTCAGTCCATCAGGCAACCGATCTCCAGACGGACTGTTCAGTTCGAACTGACAGGCCTGCCGGATCGTGTGTAGCCGGCTTAAGAAAATAGAAGCGCCATGCCAAACTCCAGACAAAACCAAATCGTAGCGACACACGTATTTCGCAATTCGTGCACGGTAAAATTCTCACCAATTTGCCTTTTTCTTTTTTGTCTCCCGTATTTCAAAAGACAAACGACAGGAGAATATCAAATGTCGGACAAGTAGACATGTTTTACATGTCGGTTCGTTAGCGTTTGCGTGTATTTTTTGGATTTTCGAGTTGGTTTTGCTCGAATGTGATCTGACTACTATATTTTTGGTAAACGTCGGAAAAATAAACAGAGTGTGGCGGAAAACCGTGGCAAAAATTTTCTCCTATCAACTTATTCGGAACGCACTAAACGAAAACGTTTCATTATTTGTCATTTGTCAAACTGCGGAAAAGTTTCCTGCTCAGTATTCTCTAGACATTTTTTGGGAAAATCACTCGAATTTATCGAATTGGTTTTCGTCTATTTCTTGCAATTTTTTAGCGTTTTTAGAGTTTTAACTTCAAATAATTTCTAACTAAGTAAAGTTTATAATTTTTCAAAAAATCAGCAATACTTTGTTCCAATTTGTAGCCGTTTTTTTTTTATTTTTTGGCGGTTGTCAAAATTTATAATAACGTGATGAAAATTTGGCTATTACAGCTTTTAAAAAAATTGCATTCGCTGCCCGATGTGCGCGGAACCATCGTTCCAATTGACGAATGATACACAAAATGAGACACGTGTGAAAACGAATGGGATGTCGGATCAAAACAATTTTTTCGACGATGAAAATTTGATTATTCAAAATATTCCGTATAAAAAATGGGACCGAATTTTGCAAAGTGCCCCCTTTTTAATAACGGTTGCGAAATAATGTCCCATATAATTTTGATCAGTTGCACCACATCTATATAACAACAAACGATGCAAAAACATTTGTTTTTGTAGATGTGATTTCGGCTTGATAAAATTTGATGGGAGTCACCTGGGATAGGGTACTTTTGTTTCATTAAGTTTTAGGCCAGTAAGTAAGACCTGTTTTAAATAAACAAGTTGTGTACCTGTAAAGTGTAAATATTTAATGATTTAAAGATAGTGATATTTAATGATATAAATCTCCAATTTTCTCAACTGCGCCTTATCATTTGCACATTAGGTTAGTCGTGAATTGAAAGCATCAACTGGCGATGTAGAAACTATTGCAAAACGTAAAAGAGACGAGGAACGTTCGGAGACTACTAGAAATGTACAATTTGTCCAATAAGTGCAAGATGTTGCTCACGAAATCTCTTCAGAATCCATAAGAGCCATTGCGAGGGACCTTAATGTCTCTAAGGGTCCAGTCCGTCTAATCCGTCGAAAACTGCCGCCTAGATTATGCGCAGAGGGCAGTTTATGTCAACACAAACTCGGAATCAGACACAAGATTGGATGGCCGAAAGTTTTTATCACCCCAAATTTATGGCCACCTAGCTCCCCAGATTTTAATCCCCTTAATTATTACGTATGGGGCGCACTTGAAACCAATAAACATCCCCATAACACTATTTCATCGCTGAAGGATGTTGTAACGACGATAATGATGAACATGAAGAAAGAGCATTGGATTCCGCCATGCAGTCGTTTCCGATCTCGGATTTTGTCCATTATTGCCGCTAATGGAAATTTTATTGAATAATTAGATGGTGTAAGAGTCAATTAACGTTATGTAAAAAGTACATGGAATTATAATCATTTCTGCAATAAATGTAAATAAATAAATTTTAATAATAATTTGTCCTCAAATGTCGTACGCACCCTGTAGATATTATCGCTTTAGTAATACTAATACTTTTCTTTTAATACTTTTTATCAGTATTAAATTCCCACTTCAAATTATTTAATTCTTGATATCGCCGAAACTACTGCTAAAATCAACTATCATCTATAATAATAAAATTCTCGATTGAGGTAAGTCGCGTTCGATCGTTATATTCGGCTGTCAAGAACTGGGGGCAACTTTTACGGACACTCTGTATGTTACTCTCAGTTCCTTACACAATTGGTTCATCTTTTTCTAAGCTTCAAAGAGTACTGCATTTAACAGATGTTCCGACTTATTTTTATGAGAGCTATTTAAAGAAAGAATTATAGGGACGCGTGACCCAAATCTGCGATTTTTGTTCCTTTTATTAACTTACTATTATTGGATAGGTAACTTATATCAAAAAATAAATTCAATTTTTATTGAATACGATAAACACGCCCTTATCAAATTCCGTTCTACTGTTTATCCTCAAAAAGTGGATCCGGGTAACAACCAACGACACACAATAAACGAAAAATACAAAAACACACATGAGAACCCCCGCCCGACCCCCCACGAAACCCTCGGATATGCCGAACCCCCTACACACATCACCCTCATACAACATGTCCGCCTCTCCCCCGCGCGCCATTGTTAGAACGGCATGTATTAAAAATAAAATCGATGATATAACGATACCGGCGGTGGGCAGAGAGGAACGGAAAACCCACCCCCACCATCCCCTCACAATACATGACGATCGACACTTTTTTCGATGCGTTTTTAACTCGTTTTCGCGCGGGAATCGGCCAGATTGAAATACCAGTCGACTCGGTGTCGAGACGATCTTCTTAATTACTGAGCCCTAATTGCTGCCAAAACTTTGAGGGAAATGAGAAGAACGACGGCGTTGCCAAACCTATCTGCTTCACGCAGCGCGGTCTAAATGAAAGCAACCCTTTTATTCGTTTAGATATATACCTAAATAGCTTTACTTCTATTGTATGTCGATCCTTAACAACATACGTAATGTATGCTATTAAAGGTTCGTTTTAATCATTTATTCGTATTTAAAATTTATATTTTCACAGGTTTCTGGTCTTAAGTTTTGTGTACGACATCGTTTAAATGTTTATGGCATAAAAATATTTTTTTATGCCTTATTCTAAATGGCTTACTCCAGCAGTTCTGGTATTTAGTGCCATTCTGGAGTAAAAAAAAAATTTTGTGTAGGACCGGTTGACATCATTCCAATCGGTTTGGTATTTACTATATACTAATATCTACTTATACGTTATAGTGTTTTGCTAACTTGTGGTGTTGTTCAGTAAATTTACATATAAACTTCAACTGCACGTCAGTAAAAATTGACGGCACCCATTAACTCAAATATATATCCGACACGAATAACGCGCAAACTGGCAACGCCGCGGCGTCGTGCAATCTCCGCGCCGTCGTACGGCGCCATCTTGGTCCTGCGCTTTTTGGCGACGGGGTGCGCCGGATTCGCGATCGTCTTCAGCTTTTCTTCGAGCTTACCGAGTTTTCCTCGTTTATCCTCGTCTCACCGACGCTAGGCGTCGTTCGTCTTCGTCAGCGTCGCTGCGAAACACTTTCTTGGTGAGTTTTGGTAATTTTCGCAGGCATTCGCCGACTTTCCCCCTTTCCGTAAAGCTCGGGTGCTCTCGAGTCGCGAGTCCCGCTTGTTTTTTGATGTAGGTTAGGTTTCGGTGTCGAATTTTCTTTGAAATCGTAGTTTTATTAAAATTTAGAATATTTGGTTTCGTCCAATTTTTAATTCTTGAATTGTATCGGTATTTTTCCCTATATCCCAAAGCCATCCCCCTCCAGTTGTCGGCGATACTGTGGCACGTGTTCGCGTCTTCTGTTGCGCCGCTGAAGCGTCCAGCAGCAGATCTGCAACAAGAGAGGTAAGATTTATCGTCACTTATGCGCACGTGTCTTGGGGCTAATTAATTTACTCGTCGAAAAATTATAGATAACATAAACTTAGTGATAATACTGTTTATGCCTTAAAGGGATCAAATATGCATTTTCTTTCTTAGTTTTCAAGGTAGAAAAGTCAAAATTAAGACGTTGTCATGTAATGGGGCGTAATGTAACTTAGGAGCATGTTCCTCGGATTGAAATAAGAAAAAAAGTTGATATAATCATTTGTTCCAAAACGTTTTGTTTTCCAGGCACAGGGTGTTAAAGGTTTATTTAATTTTTGTTTTTTTTTTCGTTTGTCTCCCACAATTTCACACTTTATTAGCTGAAATTTGGTATAGTAGTTAGATATTAAAAACACAGAGCGGTAATTTTTTCCAGAAATCCATCTGAACGCCTTACGTTGAGACAAAAGAAAAGTTTATGTTAGGGTGAGTCATTTTACTCGTCAATTAAAAATCACTTTTGTTGATACGTATTAATAAAATTTCAAAGGATTTACAAAAACTTACAACTGCATAAACTGCATATTATTGAAATATTAATTATTTTTGGATTCAATTTCTTTGATTTTTTACCCTCTAACTTATTACCCCACAATCCAGCATGAGATTTAAAAAAAAGTAATTGTGATTTTCAAGCATTTTTTGAGGGCGTCCGTTTAAATGAAGCACTTTTTATTTAGACCTAAGCGTTGTATTATTCTAAATAATGTGTTTTTCATGTATAAATTTCAGTCAATTTTTTTGAAAATGGTGGGGGACTAATTATCAAAATAATATAGTTTTTTGGACGCGTGTTTACAAAAACTTTTTTTTTGTATCAAGCTGAGCAACGGGCCTCTAGTTTAGTGCTGTGTATTAATGAATCGCCCTATATAGCGTTAATGATCATTAAATGTTTGTCTTTCGTTACAAAATTTTCCAATTTAATAAAAAATTGCGTATCAGCCAGAATACACTCCTGATATGGCTAACAAGAGTAATTAAAAAAACAGTTTAGACTATTAAAAAAATTTCACAGTGTTGCCTTTTTAATTGTTAGTTTCACAGTTTTTATGACTAATAGAGAACCACACAAAAAATCAGCCAGAACGAACGTTTTTGCAAAAAAGCTCTGCCATTTAAAATTAATAATATTTTAAAGTAGTGTTCTGATTGGGGCTTAATGGTTTAAAATGTTACATGTTGTTTAGCGATACACTTGCCTCAGGTATTTTATTCAACATACTTAATAAAAATTGGGATTGACTGTTTTACTTGATGCGACAAAATTTATTAATTTATAATTTTATTAATTCGTCTTTCGTGTACAAGGTCCACCTGAGATTTTCAGAGAAGTGATTCTAAATTATTGTTATTAATTTCAGGAGGTTCTAAAGTTACGTCATCAATTGCTGGTCCTTTTTTAGTCAGTGTAAACCTTCAAAAATAGGAAAGAGTTTATCGCGTAACCAATCAATTTATTAATTAGCTAATTAAACCACTTTTTATCTGTTTTTTTTGTAAACGTGTTTGGAAATTTAGAAGCAAAATGTATAGAAAGAAACAACTTATTACTCATTCATATTTTTATTGTATTGTATATATGATACACCGCCACTGCGGCTTGAAAACATTACGGCAAATTAATCTCCACGATATATTAGCCGAGGTGCGTCAACTACAACAAAAAACTTTTATGCGTATTATTAGGTATTTCCATTGTATCGGAACAAAAACGATCCCTTTCCAAAAACACATTTAATAAGGTCTTCGCGGCCGCCCGAATGTCTTGATGGCCATAATGAATTCGTGTTTTGTGATATCCCCACGGAATTATTGTTATTAAAGTTCGATTAGCATTAGGGCGAAGTTTTCTGGGGGGGCAATTTTGGTCAATCGAGGTGCAAAGTTTAACTGCCATTGAGTATTAAAAGGGCATTAGGTTCGCCACGAGTGTGTTCCATTTTGTTTCTGTTCAGTCTGCTGCGAGCGACTGTAATGAGTTATTATAAATGAATTGAAGCCGTAATCGTACATAACATTTTAGAGATACTGGATATAATAATTTGGTATTAATTAAAATGTTGTGTTTTTTTTTATTTTGAAATAAAGAATAAAAAACTAAAAAAACGCATATTTATTTTTTATTTCTAAATAATATAGTTTCTTTAAATATTAAATTAAAATTAGATTTAAATATTAAAAAACTTCGGCAAAAGCGCGAACAAAAATAGCTAGTAATATTAAATGTTTAAGTCTTATTTACCGTTTTAACAAATTTGTTGGTTAGAAAATGTATGTATTATTTAAAAAAATAATGAGCTCAATGTTTTTTTTTTAAATTCACGAAATAGATAAAACTGTTTATTTTTTCCAGATTTTTGTGACAACTAAACCGTTAGGTAAACCCTCCTTTGTTTTTTATTTATAAATAATACTCACAAATATATTTTAATCATGTAATACTAATGCTATCATAAAAATAATCATATATACTTACTTTATTTATAACCCGACCAATTTTTATGTATTTATAAAACAAAATCAGATTATGTAATATGCACTATAGGTCTAAGGTCTCTTATTACAGTGATCTGTCATTAGAATTAATTTATATAATTTAAATAAACTTATTATTACTTGTTTATTTTAAGTTTGTTGTCAATAGCTTTGTTTATACATAATGCGTATCCCAGAAATTCTTATTATTTCGCCAAAAAATATGTTTTTCAACGCTCATTAGTATGCAGAGTGACCCAAAAAACAACAAACATTGTCAATATCTATTACCCACATTTATTCCAATGCATTTTTCTAGAATTGAGAATTTTTGAAGGTTGAAACTTCCAAAAAAAATACAAGTAAAGAATTGAATAATAATAAGTTTTATCTTGATTCCCAAAATTTTCTTGCTATTTAATGCTGTTAGGGGTTAGGGTTTGATGCTTTTTAGGCGACACCCGATATATTGGAAGTGTTAATGGTCAAAAACAATTCCAACAACGAACAACCTGGAAAAGTTTTAAAAACTTTTTTTGCTTGAATGACCCTGCATAGGGATCGCCGTTTAATGGGATAAACATTAAACACGAATAAACAGTAAAATCTGTAAACAGTAAAGGTGCGACCGCTCCTAATTCGAACCACCGTTACACACGACTAAAAGGCATACCTAATTAATTACGCAAAACGCTCGCATTAAGCGTTGGGCCGTTAATTTACTAAAACATAAATACCAATCGACGTAAATGAAGGCATTAAAAGGCAGAATTCATTATCAACCACAATTAGGCGCCGAGTTTTATGTTTACGGGTAAGGCTGGCGAAATTCGCCGGTTGTCTTGGGATCCTTGAATATTAAGAAAATGACGTCAGAGTTTCAATTAAGGAAGAATCTAAAACATTTTTGAAACTGGGCGCCAAAGTTAAAAGCTCACTTTATTTATTAGCGTTGTTGTCAGCTTTCAAATTTTCAGGGGAGTTTGTAATCGGTTATATTTTTCTTATTTAGTGCTTTTAATTATTCTTTTTCTCTCTGGTATTTTGTAGGATAGGACGATGTAACCAATTATTAGCTGCTACCTCAACGTTATGAGATATATAATCATACTTTTCAAACCAAATATGAAATCTGAATCAGCTCGTCATCAGTGGGCACAAGGTCTTCAAAAATATCTACTATGCTGTGTGCTTATTATGTTTATGCGAGAAGTATCAAAGTTGAATTTTTTATATAAAAACCACTTATTTACAATTGTATTTTTGGATTCCACTAAGGTTTAAAATGGAACCTCCATTTAAATTCTCCAATAGTTTAAGAAGCTTTTTGATTACGTGAGTATAACAATAAACCATGTTTCATAGAAAAAAAAATTCTCTTCTTATACAAGGTGTTCAAAATTTTATTCTAATCCCATCAGAATTTTAAGTGTATAATGCTTTACTTACTTTACTTACCAATCGAATTGTATTAGGACGCCAACAGCTATTCCTTTGCGTTTTCTCTGAACTTTTTAAATAATAGATAATTTAAAGCTGCCAATTTGTCTGATTTTGTTATAACGTCTGTTTTGATTTTAATCACTTTCTCTCGTACTTTTACATTTTTAACAAATACGTTATATAGATCATAACACCAAAACTATGAACAATGGATAAAATTTGTACAAAATTTCAGAAACTCGAAAAGTAATACATTATCCACGCTATAAGGACAACTAACTAGTTAGAAAGTAAAATTAAAAGACTGTATTTTGATGACATAATACAAGTTTTAACTCTTGTTAGTTCTTATTATTTTATCGTTATTTATTAAGTTTTGCATTTCTTTTCTTGGGTTCTTTTCCTTTTGAGTTTTTATTCATTAAGCCAAAATTTCATTAATTTATTAAACCAGAAAACACCATTTAATTTGTGTTTACGCTAGCCTAGATTGAGATTGTATATATTTTGTTGAATAAAAAAAATATGTTTTTTTGGTTCATTGGTTTATTGATTTTTGTTACTTTGGCTTGGTTTTGAAAATATTTTTTGCATTTCTTTTCTTGGGTTCTTTTCCTTTTGAGTTTTTATTCATTAAGCCAAAATTTCATTAATTTATTAAACCAGAAAACACCATTTAATTTGTGTTTACGCTAGCCTAGATTGAGATTGTATATATTTTGTTGAATAAAAAAAATATGTTTTTTTGGTTCATTGGTTTATTGATTTTTGTTACTTTGGCTTGGTTTTGAAAATATTTTTTGGTTTAGTGATTTTTTGTTAATTTGGTTTTGTTGGTAAAAAATAATTTGTTTCGTAAAAAAGGTAACAAATCGATATAAACAGTTTATCAAGGTATTTCTACTAGTGGAACTTAACTTAAACTTGGAAATGGAATGGAACTGGAAATACCTGTACCTACACAAAAACATTCCTGCCCGTCCATTTAAGTAATCCCATTAATTTTTACTAAATGTGAAAGTGATTCGAGGATTTTTTTTT